CTACATCAGGCATTGGTCTGGTTCTTGAGAGCCTCTATCCAGCCTGTTTTCCATGTTTCCCTCCTCCTGTCCACCTGATCCAATGATCAGGATTCTTACCAGGCTTCTGCGGAGCTCGCTGATGAACTGATCATTTGACTCAGGTATGATGGAGGAGGGAAACACGTAAACCATGTTGGAGAGGGGCTCTCGGGGGACCAGACTACCCGGTGTCAGAAAGCTTGCTGTCAGTCGCAGCTCATGAGTTGTTAAAACAGAATGGTGACCCAAAACAGACAACTAAAAACAGCCAAGAATGGCTACGAACAAAACATTCTATTCTGAGCCCAGATCTAAATTTTACTGAACATTTGCGTCAGGTAGTGCCCCCCACCCGTTCTAGAGAAAAACATGCTACCCAGTGTTAGAAAGCTTGCTGTCAGTCGCAGCTCATGAGTCGTTAAAACAGAATGGTGACCCAAAACAGACAACTAAAAACAGCCAAGAATGGCGATGAGCAAAACATTCTATTCTGAGCTCAGATCTAAATTTTACTGAACATTTGCGTCAGGTAGCGAAACACACCGTCTGGAGAAAAGCACTGTTCAAACCTGGGACAACTGGAGCAATTTGCTCATGACGAATGAGGAAAAACACCTGCTAAGAGGCGCACAAGTCTCAATGAAAGTCACAAAAAAGTTCAGGGAACCATCATTTTTGTCCAGGCCTGTTTCAAAAGTTAGTTCTTACATTGATTCCTTTTTTAAATGTCTTTTATCGTTATTTTTCTTTCACTAACAGAGGACTACACAAAATATTGTGCATCTGTCTCTCTCTCTCCTTTTATAGGAAGATTTGGCATTTAAAAATGTTTGCGAAATCACCAACAGGAACTGGTTGCGTGTGCCACCGTTATTCCTCGGACAGAAAGGCAAGACACCTTTAACTCTTATGACGTAGGTCACATGGTCAGCCATCACTCCCAAATGCGAAGATAAGCAGGGAGCCGGTCGCAGCCGGACGGAGCTGCGAAATGGGGAGGATTAGTCACTTTGTCAGGCAACTCTCGGGTGGGTGGCGAGCCACCGGGGGCAGTGGAGAGACCGATAGGAGCAAGAAAGACGGGCATGAGAGGCCAGACAGTGGGGGCAAAATGGATAACAATAACAAAGGGGGGGGGGGGGGGCAAATGGAGAACCCCCCCCCCCTGAGAAAAATCCCAAATGTAAACATGTAAACCACAGGTGTCAAACTTAAGGCCAGGGGGCCAGATCCGGCCCGCCGCGTCATTTTATGTGGCCCACGAAAGCAAGATCAGATAAGATAAGATAACCTTTATTTGTCCCAATCTTAACTTGTATGATCCTTGCTAAAATTTGGACCAAAAAGTCAAATTGTCATGTCTACAAAATAACGTTGAGATTTTGCTATCATTTTGTTACCCTGTTTAGACTCACATGTACAATAACTGATCTCATATAGTTGACTGATTTCAAAACTAGTAATCAATTAAAATGTTTTGGACAAGTCATAATGCGATGAGACAATGAAACGTTTTTGTGGATTCGCTGTCATAACGGCCCTCCGAGGGAAGAATTCCAACGTGGTCCACAACAAAATTGAGTCTGACACCCCTGATGTAAACACTGGCAAAGATTTTCACATAAATGATGAGCATTAATTATTCACAACACTTCATAATAACAATATTAAATCGAATTTGTGATTTTAGGAGTGTGTCCAAACTTTTTGTAACGACCTTTCCACACGATGGCAACAGAGGAAAGGCCTAAAGTCGGTGAGGAAGTTGGATAAGGAGTAAAAAGTGGTTTCATAGCATTTCATTATTTTCAATAAGAAAAGTTGATTTGAGATCCGAATGCTTCGAGCGTATACGAGAGTGGTCACGGAACGAATTAAACTCTAGCCAATGCACCGCTGTGTGATGAAAAAAATAAAAATGCAGCACATAAATAATGAACAAATAAATGCATTAAAAATGTCGTACGAGTTGCGTTGTGTTCTTACAGACCATTCAAACGCACGTTGACCTTTATGAGTGTGTGTGCGTGCAGGCACGAGTCTGTGTGCGTGTGAGGGCAGGAACAGGAGGTGTGGGATCTGGAAACCTCTTGGTCCCATGTGAAAATGTGGCCGACGACGGCACCATCTGTGCACCCAGTAGGGAGCGCTCTCAGTCATACGGACACACAAAGGTGCTCAACTTTCTCTTTCCCTACTGTGGGACCCCCTGACCCCGTCTCCCCTCTTCCTCCTCAACACACACACACACACACACACACACACACACACACACACACACACACACACACACACACACAAACAATTATCATCATACTTTATTTGGGATATGTCCTGTGACATCACATTTTTATCGGCATCTCCAGCAGTAGGCCTATTTGCAAAATATATCATAGGACCAATAAAATAAAGTGTTCCGTTGATGTTCAGGCTGGGTGAATCGTGTTACAGTATATGATGATTTGTCATCATTTATTATTTTCTTGAAACAATAAGTAAAAAAAATGTCAGAGTTTCAAAGGTCGCAATTGTGGAATGACCCCAGTAACGTGCGTCTGCACTTCTGGATAACCACAATTTCAGAGGAGGCGGGCTTGAGTCCCGTTTAGAGCTAAATGTAATTGTCACATGTCCTCTTGGTCCTTTTCCCCGAGTTCTTGGAGCAGCATCTCATCAATGAAGTACCCTTTTTTTTTCAATCAGAACAGCAGCCATATTGTTTCCTTTGAACTCCATCTCTTTCATTGATATACCTCGAAGCCCACTTATGTCCAGGTCCAATAAGATAAGACGGTCAACATCATTTCTCAGAGGGCCAATCTTTTTATTTATTTATTCATTTTTTGCTGTCGAGTGAAATACATTTTATGCGCATGACATAAAAACGATGAAAATGTGACACATGAACCTTTGAGCTTTTATTTTCAGTTCTGTACATCTGC